GTCGCCCGCCCGCTGCCGAGGGCTGGCTCGGGCTCGGTAAGGCAGCTACGTGATGGGAACAGCCGCGGGGGAACTATGACGCTGCGGGGAGCGGATAAACGCAACGCTTGTCACCATCGCGCGCGTGACGCAGCTCTTCCCCAAGGAGAGCGCTCACACGCCGGAGGGATGCTCCTGGGATCTGCTCCCCAGGGTTCGCTCGCCCTGGGAACGGGACTTGCTTTGCAGCACCGCCACCAACCGGAGAAGCACGCGGACGCTACGGGAGCTGAAAAAAACGTTCTGACTGAGCATCCTATAACCCCAGCAGGGAGGAAAACACATGACCTTCAGCTGGCCAGATTTCCAGGCAGCGCTAGATGAAGTCGAAAGAGCTCAGGCTGGCAGGGGCAAGAGGACACCAGCCGAACAGACAGCAGCTCTGCTGCTACGTTGCGCGCTCCAGGGCACCCAGCACCATGTCCCTCCCGGCCTCCCTATTGCCCTGCCCGGTCTCCCAGGATAGCCAATCCTACAGACCGGTACGAGCCCTCGGGGCTCATGTCCTACAGTCAGGACAAGGTGGGACTCACCTTCCTTCTCCCAGATCCCCACAACACCCCGAAAATTTCCTATCGCCAGGCTGACAAACACCTCCCTCCCCATCCTCCCCCCACCGCCGCTGCCTGGCCTCTCGTTCTCGGAGGCATTTGGCAAAGATTGGAGGGGAAGGAAGGAGACCCTGACGGCAGGGGGGGCACAGAGAGCAAGGCAGAGCAGCAGCAGCTGACTTCTCCTTCCAAAGTGAGACACGTCTCAACAGCAAGGAGCCTTAATCCCTCCTTCCCAAGGATGCGTTCGTGGGAGGCAGCTCTGCACTGCTCTGTCTGCTCCCTTCTTCACTCAGGGCTCCCTCTCTCCTTCGTTTTGCTCTTCTGCTCCCTCAATTTCTTCTTTCTATCTCCTGTCCTTTGTCTCCCGACACAATTATCCAGCCCCCACTCCGCGAGCGCCGAGCCTGGCCTCGGCCTGAAGCAGAGCAGAATTCATTATGGGCAGCATGCATCCAATCTCCGCTCTATCAGCGGGCTCCAGCTGGGCAAATTAAAGACCGGAAGGAAAGAAAGAGAGCAAGAAGAAAGCCTGAAGTGAGGGAGGACGAGAAAGCCTGAGAAAGGAAAGTCGCCATCCCCTTCGCGTTTCAAAGGATGGCTTTTCCAAAGAGAAGGAGAGCGATGGCGAGCGCAGAGCCCAGAGAAAATCCCAGACTTGCTGCAGCAACGTTTCAGCCCTCCCCGACGTGCCGTTTGCTTTGGAGGCGTACTCAGGGGCAAGCCGCCGTGACAGCAAAGGGACGAAAGCCTCACGAGTCTCAGGCCCAGACCGCCAGCTTCACAGCGGCTGGTCGTAAGCTCCAGGAGGTTTAACAACCTCCAGGGAGCCACAGAGCAGGAAGGCATCGTTTCTACTTAGTCACGCTTCTTCAGGAGGCACTTTACAGACCGCGTTTTCCACCCTCTCCTTGGCTGCTAAGCTTCATAAACAGTTTATCTTCAAATTAGATGCCAGAGGCAAAGCTACGCGAATGCAAAGCACCTCCCTTGTGCAAAAAGCAGCCTAAGATTTGCTGGGGCAGACAGATGTAGTGGTTAGCACCGGAGGGGGAGGCAACCTGGCAGACCTGCGCAGCACCAACGCATGCAGGGCCCGGAGGCCGCCG